TCGTGTAGATGTAACCAATATCACGCGTCTACATGCTCTCTAAATGAGGTTGTTTTGATGCCAAATTAGGTAAGTAGCACAGGTGTGCACAGGCACTCTTTTCGCATTACGTCTTACTGCCAAGCTGGCCGGATTTTTCGAGATTTTACGGTATACATTGTTCTGGAGGAGCAAGCAGGTATTCAGATATGGTAGGTATTGTACTTCTGTCAAAAAACTATGGTACAATACCATATCATCACCCAACCTCCACCCGCCCGCCCGTCTATTCGCCCATTCGGTGTGTGGGGGGGGGGGGGCGAGGTGACTGTGATAATTATCACAATACAACACGCCTCCCCCTAAACTTCCTCCCCACCTTCCGGTAGAACTTCCCACCTCCAGGGCTGGAGGGCCGTTTGAAGGATTTTGATACCGCATGAGTGCGGCATGCACCTCCCTCCAACCCAATCCCGAGTGAATACACCCTCCTCTCTCTTATCTCGTCACCTGTCCCTCCTCAGGGTACCCAGCACAAAGGGAGAGGGAGAAATTGAAAAAGAGAGAAACAATAAAAAAGAATGCCATGATCAAACGCCGAAGGCTAATGCCATGCTCCCCTCGCCTCGGACAAAAGAAATGAAAAGGGAGTAAAACAAGAAGAGAATAGAAGGACCACCCAAACCGTAACATACATTCAACGAAAAAAAAACCTGCCGCGTCTAATGTGAAAGAATAAAAGAAAATGTGATGGGTTAAAAAGGTCAATACCTGGACAAGCCTCATAATGGAGCGACAAGGCATCAGAAATTACCCCCGTTGGCGACTGCGGGAGGGGGCCATGCCGGGGAGCCGTACCTATCCTGCTCAGTCCAGATCTGTGTTCCGAGGAAATTCCCACGCCAGGGTGAGTGTGTGGCTTTCATACGATTCCTAGATTCCAACGGGTTGATGTCTACCTTTTGAACAATTTCAGTGCGCGTCTACTCCCATTACCACAATTAGCCTTAATTTCGCTTCCCGTTCTCCCCAAAGGCAAAGACGGCAAGGTACCTCAATAACGGAACTGTGTCTGTAATTCCCGTCATTCCTCGTCAACGAACCAACGCTATCCTGGCCCATCACTGGCATCCTCTTTCGCCGCGAATTCACAGAGAGGTTGTACTCGTGTGAACTGGGCTTTCTCACCTTCTGTCGGAGGAACGAGTTTAGGACCGGTGCGTTGGCGACTATGCAGGCTGCTAGGCACTCTATTGATGCCCACTGTTTAGGTAAAACATGGGTTAATACGCGACTTGGTACGGATTCGGGGGAGGTGTTACGAACCAGTGTCCGAGCTTTCTGTATCGATTTGTCAACTATAATCACGGGCATGCGGATAATTGTAATGCAGATGACGAATATACCGAGGCCGAAGAGCAGGGATAGCTGGAGTTTTCTGCAGTTTGTCAGTATCTTTTCTGTCGCTGAGCCGCTTCTAGAGAACCCCACCTCATGATCGGAAGACGGGATTTAAAGACTAGGGGTAAAGGAATGAGAATGAGAGCGGCGTCAGTCAAAATATTGAAGATTCCCATTGTCAATAACTGCGCAATCGCCTGCACGCAGTCTGGATATTCAATCAGCACAATTCCTTACAATCAGGTCGGGAAAAACTCACGTCCTGGGTCGGGTGTCATCTGCCCTGAGTATCCCGAAATAGTTGTGTTAGCATTTGATCATCAAAACCACGAGACTCCATCCCAAACGGATTTCAGGAACAGGGTAGCCTCCTACAATACCTATATCAATGTCAGTAAGATCTAAAATAATGGCATAAGAAAAAAAGACTCACACTGGGAATGGCCGACACTCAAACAACGTGACGAAAATGACCGCCACGTAGGTCAAGAAAACCGCAACGTAGGTAATATCGACCAAAAGTCCATACGGCTTCGAACGCGCAGTCAAGCGTTTATAGAAACCCAACATGCAAACCTTCATGCACCATACGCTGCTCTCCCCGTCAACAAACCCATTCCATCCCATCCAATTCTCTCCACTCAAAATTTGGGTCGACAAAGGAGGGGTGGAAGTGAAGAACCCACAATCCGGCATAAAATATTCTCCCGGCAAGGATCATCTTGCTCCCCGTAGTTCTCCGCATTATTTCCACCTCGCTCATATCCTCAATAGGATACTTCTTCCTGGAGAAATTATTCGTTCCATAGGCTAGCACAACATGGATAACTCCCAACCGGACGAGGAGAGGAACCAACGAGATACCCATCCATACATCGTCCAAGTACATTCCCTCCCCTCGGTGACACCGTAGTCCAAGCCGCACGAATATCAGAATCAATGCCAGAACCGTGCATACATATGTTACCACGAGGGTGGTCGTATCCAGCTCAGGCATTTTGTGGCTTTTTTTTTCTTCCTATTTTTTAGATGGGAGCTGTTTGTCTTCCTATGTCGGGGGGCCGCAGTCCACACCCATATACAGATTGACAATCCGTAGTTAAATTGAACAAGAGGGCGGTTTTTGGAAGCCCGAGGGGGGCGGTATACAGCTTTAAGTCTATTAGAAAAGTGGGCAACCACAGGTCAGATACTGAAGGCTCAGACGTCAGCCATAAACTCCATCACAAATGGTAGCTGTAGCAATAGTAGCTGTAGTTGCGGTGACTGTGAAATGGAATATGTAACTGCTCACTTGCACTGCTTCCTTCCCCCTTCTTCAAGGCGGAGAAGTTATCGAATATCCTTGAAATGGAAGGATTGAATTATATTCAATTAGGGCCCGAATGCAAAAAAAAAAAACCTAGTGAATGTGTGGCGGAGGTGGTGTCGGAGAAGGAAGGAAGAAGGAAAATCAAGTTTGAGGAAAGGAAGTAAGAACCAGAATAAGAGACAGCAAACCAGCGTCGGAGATACCACTCGTGATATTTTTTGCCCGAACGTCGCGGCCCAAGGGCACGGGGGGTCTCCGGAGTCACCCTAGGGGATGGGGCAGGATAACGGCTTAAGATATGCCTTTCCTCTTCAAGTACTAGGAGTGGTGTTCAAGCCGATCAATACCATTGTTCAAAATGGCCAGATACGAGAGGAGGGCCAGGACTTGCATCTTTTTTCTTTTCCACCCTCTCTTTTTCTAATGCATGGCTAGATCCTAGGGGAGTTTGATGTGGGTTTGGGCTAGAGGGGCGAGTGTGCTAGCGGTGAAGTACGGTACGCTCAGGAATGGTAAGGCAAGAAAAAAATTCCGTATGGAGGAGGCAGGTGTATGGAGCAGCCCAGCCGGATGTGGCTGGAGGAGATACCCATCCTTGCACCCCTTTCCCCTTCATTAATACAGAGTTCTGAGTAATGATTCCAAAGTGGGTAGTCTATAAACAGCTGCGGAAAGGTAAGGGTGACATTTTCTGACCAGCGGCATTCAGCCTTGAGGTTGGAAAAGCGTTCGTCAAGCGCCAAATTTCGGCTGGATCTGCTGGACCCGTACGCAAACAAGGCGTTACACACACGCCAAAGTCCTTCAACTTGGGAAACTTGCATAAAGGCTTTTCAACCCCGCGGCTGGATTCCTCCATGTTTTCCATGGGAGGGAGGGAGAGAAGGCGGGGGTAATGTAATTTAGGGTAAAGGTGGTGGTGGTGGTGCGAGACAAACTGGTGCAAGTTCTACTTTCTTAGGACAAATGGGGGTATGAGGGGCGAAGGGTGGGACCGTTAGTATGGTAAGTATGGTAGAAGGGGGCAATGCAATAATGTTACAGTATCCTCTCTAACTATTTCGAGAGATAGACCTCGTCGAAGCTGAGGGGGCAATGAGTGTTCTAGCCGCCCTCGAGGACAGCACGGGCAATCCTCCTTCTCGCCTGTGTGAACGAAACTATCTTCATCAAGTGAGATGGCGCTCACAAGTTCCTAAGAACTTCATCCAATGCTCTGCCCACTCCTTGGACCCTCCGTGTAACTATTGCAACTATAAAGTATAGGTGGCGCCAGTATTTACCTTACTGTACAGTGTTATTCCCCCTCACAGCGCCCATCTTAATCTACTATCAGTTTAAGCTGCCCTGCGCTCAAGACCATCCGGGGAACAGGTCAGGAACACGATACTTGTACATGGAGTGTTGTGAAAATCTTGCCTTGGAATATATGATAACCAAGTTACCGGTCACGAATCCCACTTATCTGCTTACCTGCTGTTTACCCAGCACATTAATATCGATCATCCGTAGCGCGCAGTCAGTCTCTGTTGACTCGGGTTCCCGTCCCCGGATCCGCAGGGAATCTCCACAGCTCGCTCGCCATTCGAGTAGCACCAGTAGGATACTTGTATATGCATGGTTCGACATCCTAACAGGGTCTAACTTAATACCAACGACCCCACCCTCGCATAGCGCAGTCCTAAAAAATAAAACAAGAAATGACCATCTCGGAGCAATTACTGAAAACAGACGCCACCTCTTACCGGTATGGCCCTTGGTTGTCTCCCGCCCCGAACAAATAAGCAGTGTCGTATCGACAAAAAACTTTGCCCTATCTCAGCCCTCATATACTGTAGGTACAGTACAGCAAGGGTACTTTTCTTTCTTCTCGCTTGCAACGTTACCTGTGCTTCGAGAGTTAGGAGTTTATGCCCACAACCACCTTACAGCACAGTCCCCTCGTACAAGTCTCCCCTATCTTTGGTACTGGGCAGCACGGGTTTATATAGTATTGTATCATATCCATTCAAGAACGGCGCCGTGCTTGAATACAGACTACAGAAGCTCAAACGCCAACGACAACTACTCCCCCACATTCTCCAAAGCTTAAAGATCTTCCGGGCAGCCATGCGCGCTTCTGGAAGGATCCACCTTCTTTTCTCGCTTTCCCCGTCCTAAGATATCCCTCCTTTTGGCGGGTGACCAATAGTTATCGGGAACAATTAATTTTCCCTTGCCCTACCTCGGCGAATTCAGCTAAATACCCCCCTGTCGGTCGGTATGATATCAGAGTATTACAGCAGAATTTGCTTTATTTTATGATTCCAGCACATCACCCTCTGCCGTAATTTTGGTGCCACTGCAGATGCCGATGCCCTGCCGTACCTTGGCGAAAAGTATAAAATCTAAGTATTGTACGATACGATGCCGTGGTTTCCGATGCGACACTCACACAGGACTCGAGTACAGTTCCCCTCTCCCTCCCTCCCACCTTCCATTCTGCTGCATCATAAAGTGGGGGGATCTCGCCCATAACATCGTGTGGCACTTCCCGTACCCCACTGCCATCATATCCAGCCAAGCCCTCCACAAACTCTTGATGCCCTTCTTTCCCTCAACCTTGTCCCTCGGTCTAAAGCATCGATACGGAAATCCCCCTTCCCTCTTCCCACCCATTTGTCGCGAGCAAGCGGGTACCGTACTTGCGCGGCGAGCCGGGCGGGGTTGGTGATTAACGCAGGATGAGCCCAGCTTTTATCCGGTTGTCTTGCCCTTTCCGATGAGACATCCCATCATGCAGGGGAAGACTAATCGATTCGCGCGCACTCACGCACGCGATACCACTTTTATGTCTCGTGTATCCACAGCACAGTACGATAAGTTATTTGGATGGCCCGGGTGCTTTGGGCTGGTCACTACAAACTAGGATGGTTGTATTGAAGGAAAGAAGAAAAAAGGCTAAGCGTGAAAAAAAACGTCCGCAGACGCAAATCTGTGTTTTTGCGGAGTATGATGCTCGAATACCTTACGCGCCCGCTCGGGTTGTGCATCCGGGTGCACGCTGTGGCATTGGCTCGCATCATGCCGCGAACTATCACACTACAGTATGGAAAACTTGCATACTGGTAAACGGGCCGTGTGCGAGGTGGTCCAAAATTTCCTCCTCTGGAATGGGGCGGAAGCCAAACCTAAAAGCTGGCTTCCCGAGACTAGAAGGAAAAAGAAAGCACCAGACCTTACTAGGAGAGGCAACCCCAACGTCCCTGCACAAGATCCAACCATGGAGTTCTTACAAAAGTTACTCGAGTACCATACGATGGGATTGGTATCATATGACCGACCAGTGCGGCCTTCCTAAAAGCGCTCCCTTTCATGGACAATTTCAGAAGAGATCGGCTTCTTCACTCGGATCACGCATGAGTTTGCGAAAAACGAAGATCGAGTGATGAGATCCGCTCCATCTTTCCTCTAACAAGACACGCAACCCCCACGACACGATGCCATACCTGCACGGCGCCACATCATAGCACCCAGCGGCCAGGAACTAAAGTGGAAATAAAATAAAGTCGTCTTATCTGCCCCACAAACCATCTCTAAATTCCCACCATCCGTTCTGCCACGGGTACGAACACGGGGGATCGGATGCCCAGGGATTAAGGAGATATCAAAATCTCCTTGTTTGTCCGAGCAATTCCCATGATTTGTTATACCACATAAGTCCCATATTCCCTTTTATAGTGCTCAAGTACCAGCACCCGAGCGTTGCAAAAGTATCCGGAAATCTTGGTATAGCTTACGCCTAGGAAACGCCAAGACTTCCCAAGGCGCAAGTACGGATACATACGGGCACCAAGGTGACGGTGAAGCCTCCAGAATCCCCGGGTATCCCATCACTCCCGCCGATGCCCGAGCACTCGAGCACCGGCACAGCACGCATGTATCATACTAGTACAAGACTGAAATCTTAAAATCCCCTGCCTTATCCCACCTATTTCCGGTTTCTCTGCAAACTACCCCTCCCTCCCTCCATCCCTTCCTTCCTTCCTTCCTTCAATTCCTTCATCTCTTCTAGCCTCGCCCTAGAAGGAGCATTCCTCGGCGAAACAATCCCCATTCTATACCATACTGCACATCAAAGCCCCACAAACCATCTGTAAACAGCCTCCTCACCTCCTCCACCGGATTAAGGAGACCTCCGACAGTCACTGTGCAATGCAATAGGCAGGTGGGTACAGTACTACAATACACACTAATGCAGCATAAGCACGCAAACAGTGCAAATCCTTTAAGAGGTCTGGATAATTATGGTAATATTGTATCATATGAGTAAGGGACCTTGAGGGTTTTGTTTATTCAACGGTTCGGAATGCCTGCTGGTTGGTTTCCGCTATGGGCGATCACGTCGTGAGCCTCTTTGTTTCTCAAGTAAAATACAGCGCACTCGCACCCCGCTATCCCGGATTCCTTCCGGGACAACGGTGTGTCCAAAGCAATGGAGAGAGAGAGAGAGTTTGTGTTATTTGGAAATTAGGAAGGTTTGTTCCCATTCATGCGTGAAGCTTGATCCTAACTCATACTCATAGACAGTCCTAACACTTTGGGAGGCCCACCTGGTAACTAGACATATATGATAGCATCTTCTTCGTCCACCCCCATATCACTGCCGTGATACATATGATACAAAAACGATATTCTCTACCTCCGTACCCCAGTCCAATCCCAAGCCCACAATACCCTCTCCCATTTCTTCTCCCCTTACCTTTTTCTTTTTTCCTTCTTACTACCTTTAGCCCCGGCCCTACCCTTTCCCTCCTTTTGCTATAGCCTTCATGGCAGCAAGCACAGCATCCAGTTCAACAGACAACATTTGTATAGGAACAGGGGACAATATTTCCCAAAATGCCACACGAATCCTAAAACCCCCCTTTCTGGTTTAGCGGATGAAATTCTATGAGAATTCAGATGAGCCAAAGATCCCTCACGGTTCAGCGGGGTATCTGGTGAAGCGCGATCCGGGATAGCGGGGTGTGAGTGTGCATTGGGCAAGCCAGGCAGCAATCTACGTTGGCAGTTATCTATTGAGCCATTGGTTTGATGGTTCCGGGTTGAAGGATAGGGGTAGCCAGCGGCGCCGAGGTATACTTTGGGAACAGTGTTACTGTAACCTTTAGTATAGTTCCGGTTACAAGAGCAATGGAGGGGGGCTGATTGCCGTTAGTATGGTATACCTCATAACTCAATAATGCCAAGACGGACACTAGCATGGTAAGCGGATGAAAGCTAGTGGGGTTGCCTCCCGGTTTGCATAGACAGCACGGAATAATACGATAATATGGTAAAGCGGGGACGAAGCTCGTCGGGGGTGGTCGTTGACATGGGATCGTTGTGCTCTATTACGATGGGGGTTTCCAGGAGTCTCA